ATCAAAATATTGTCAACACGATAGGTTGTAAACCTCAACTCGTGTGCTAGTGATGATCGATAAGGTTTATTTGATTTGTTCTTGAAACATTTCAAGACCATTAAGACTCCCACTGACTCCTTGACATATAAGATTCTCTTGTCAATAAACATTTGTTGACAACCAAATATTCAAGAGTTAGTGTAGCTTTTATCAAAACACTTCATAAATTGGTCCAAGTTGGTATTTGTCTTATTCAAGACATCACAACTTTCCACATTTTATAAATGTTATTAACCTTTAATACTTTTCACTCATTGCCACAATCTTAACTTTAAGACTTGTTATTGGAACGAAGTATGATCGACTTCTTGATTTAACCATTTCTTCAATTCTTGATTCCTCTTCTTAGACATTCAATTTTACTAAGACTCACTTAGAGGATCATTTGAGATATGGTTCTTAATCATTAAGACCTATCATAAAACATAAAAGGTACTCTCCCTTCTTCTTAGAATGGAGAACCTTTTATCTTTCTGCCTACTTGATTCTTCTTATTCGTTTTGCTATTGATTTAAACCTTTTTAATCAATTCCGAATTACACTTAATCTTATAAGTATAATCATATTTACTAAACCTTTAGTAAATCATGACGAATATCTTTGTTACTCTTATGGTGAACTTGATCAACACACAACTTTGTGTGCTCGATCTCCTAGTCCTTGACTTGACACTTTGTCAACGAATTTGTCTAATTTCCAAATATGAAATTTCTCATTCATCATGCAACCAAGTTGCGTGATTCCAAATTTCAGTCCAACTAAAATTTGGGCGATGAGAAACTCTCCCTATTTGGTAAATTCTCGACATTTCCATAAATAACATAACTAAGAATCATATCCATTCATTGTAGAAATATGCAAACATCAATTTTCATAACGATTTCATTGCAAGGAGGTAAACAAATAAATAAACAAGTCAAACAAAATTTATTTTATTTATAAAAGCAGCGGAAAAACATTTGTCCTTACAATGCAAAATCTGTTGAAAACTATATAAAAGGAAAATTTCTAACAACTCTATCATAACTATATAAGCTCAAAATCCAATCTTCAAGTCCATGCGATCAAGATCCATCTCTTGTGATTAGATTCATCTTGCTCTCTTATCAAGCTTCCTTTCTTTTCACCGATCCTGCATGCAATCTTATCACATCATGTATTAAGAATCAATGAATAGGAACTTAACGGAGTTAGATAGTGGATTTTACCTGAAGCGTAGTCATACTTTTGACTCTCCCATCTCTTAGATCTCTTAGGTAAATAGGGCAACTTCGTCTCCAATGCCCCTTCTCTTGGCAATAAAATAAAATTGACTCTTTTGGAACAACACATGGAACTACTTCAGACATCGCCTTTCTCTTATGATCAAACTTTTCGATCATTGCATGTCTTTCATTGCCATTGTCTATATCCATAGAGGTCTTGAAGGCAGATTCACCAATCAACTTTGCTTTTCTATTGCGCCAAACCATTGCTGATTCAGCAGCAATAAGCATATAGGTGAGATCAATAAGGGTCACGTCGTGGTTCATCATATAGTACTCTCTTACGAACTCACTATACGAGTTAGGAAGTGACTGAAGAACCCAATCAACAGCCATCTCTTCACCGACAACGGATCCCATCATTCTTAACCTATCAATGTGTGACTTCATCCCTAAGACGTGTGCACACACCGACTTTCCTTCTTTATGTTTACTTGCCAAAAGGCTTGAGTGATATTGAACCTTTCAATTTTACAATCTTGTGGGTTAGGGAGAATAATTGGAGGAGGAGGAGGAAGTGAAGCATGATTTCTTGTTCCTCGATCGAATCGTGGAATATCATCTTCATGTGGAATGCTTGTTCCACGGGATTTGGGAAGACCATAGTTGTCGAACTTTGACATCTACAAAACGGGAGAAAAACAAATTCAAGTTAGTTGATAGATTGAGTCCTTAGTAAATCACCCAAATGAAATACTAAGGCTAGGACCCAACACAATATTCTACAACTCGGGAGAGGGATGCCGTAACCCTAATTGAGAATATTTGAAGGTAAGTGAATGACGATTCACTAATTTCCACCATGAAAAACGAAAAAGAAATTTAAGTTTTAAATCTATGAAAACTCCTAGATCCTTTGAGATTCATTGAACTTTCAATGGCATGTTTAAATCTCGATATGCCCTCTTGTTTGTGACTGGGATGCCGAGGATCACAAAGCGGGTGTGAATAACCATGCAAACTTACATGGTGCCCTCACATGTTACAATCACCCATTCGATGTGCCGGTAAACCACACACGCTCCACCGAACTATGACAAACATTGAGTCACCCTTTGCAACCTTTGCTTAGAACCATTTAGTGTGCCGGTAAACCACACACGCTCCACTAACGTCTTCGCAAGGGCACAAAGTGTAATTTCATGGAATTGCATCAATTCACTTTTGCCTAAGTAACTAAGATTGGGAATTAGAAAAACATTTAGTTACTTTGTATTTCATTATACTTATAATGGAAGGTTTCGTCCTATCCTACCCGTTCGGCTAACGACCCTCCACTAGTCAAGAGTGCGGTGGGTAAGAGTGGATACCCATTCAATCGCCATTTTATAGGCAATTTCCTTAAACACCCCTTATAGACCAGCTTCGTGAATGAGGCCTACTAACGGTAAGACTGACTTTTACTCATACATATATATAATGTTAGACTTTTAATGTTATATATATAATAGGGTGCATTTCATACTTTAAAATACTATGTGGTCAAATTTAATAATTATACCTTTAATTCAATTAAATTGCAAACCAAAACTTTTATGGATTTATTAAATCTCTTTTAATTATACACCTTAATTAATTAATAAAACCATAAGGGTGTGATTTGAACTTTTCAAAACAATACTAGGGTTTTAGAATTTAACACTCCTAATTAAACCTTTTAATCAACTTTTAAATTCCAAAACTTGAGGGCAAGTTTTGAAACATTTCAAAACAATTTAGTTTTAATCTATCTTAAAATTTCGAATTTATGACATTTAAATTAAAATTTTAAATATTAAAACTCTTGATTTAATAATTATCTTGAATTAGACTATTAATTTAATTATTAAATCATAAGGGATTATCTAAATAATGAGGATAATTACCATTTAGACATTTAAGTTATCCTAATCCCTTAAATATCTATATAGATTTCGAAAATATGGATGGATAATGCAAGATCTTGAATTACCATATATAACAATTAAAGGATAATTACAAGATATGGGATAATCCAAATCCCTAAAAATTAGGATCTTATCTTGGGGAGGAGGCAAATTTCGAAAATCAAGGGATTATAACAAACCCTAGATTTCGAAATTTAAGGGTTTAAGGAAAGGATTTGAAGATCTTATTCAAACTCTTGCAAATTAGGGTTTGCAAACCCTAATCTCGAAAAACCTAGCCTCTTAGGGTTTATTGGCAATAAACCCTAATATATCAAGTTCATACAATTGAAACCAAACCAATGGCTCTGATACCACTGATGGGTTTTGGTCATAAGACATCCTATGTGCTCATACAAACCCTAATGCTTGGATCTAGGTTTCTCTATTGTACATGCTTTGAATCCAAGACTATAAACCCTAATTCTAGTATATGAAATCAATATTAACATATGAATGGGTTTAAGAACATACCTTGATTGTTATATAGCAATAACAATCCTAATTCCACTTGAATTGACTTTGGAATGCTTAGAGTCACAAGTGTCACTCCTCTAATGGCTTACAAACACCAAGAGCAAATGGAGAAGGTATAAAGAGAGAGGAGAGAGGTTAGAATTCGTCCTTAGGACATCTTGGGAAGGGATACACGAATTCATGAGCCTTAGGGTCTCTATATAGGTGTAGAGATAGGGTTTCAGTCATTATCCTTATCTAGTTGCTTATCCACAAAGCAACCATAAGATAATCCTTGAATCCTTATCATAGTCGAATTCTAAGGCCTTATCACCTCAAATTCGTTCACCCTATATTTAAGATAATTCTTACCTTATTTTGTAACTATCACATAATTACAAATCAGCCCCTCTAGTTTAATTAATTACACTTGATCACAAAATTAATTCCTAATTAATTATTGACCAATATTAATTAAGCAAATATGATTTCTCCTTTAATATATTATTCTTATAACATATTAATAAATCATAATAACCTCTCTCTTATTATTTATTTCTCCAATCAAGTTGCTTTGGTGAAGGCAACCCAAAAGGACCATGCACGATCGGGTCAAGTACATACCAAAATAGTTATGGACTTAGACACTAATCCAACAGTCTCCCACTTGGCACTACTAGAAAAACAGCCTTTTACGACGCTCATTACGCGTCGTAAAAGGCTCAGACGACGCGCAAATGAGCGTCAAGGAAGGCCCTGTCATAAAGAGAGACGACGCGCTTTTGCGCGTCATCTATAGACGACGTGCGTTTACGACACACAATGCGTATCAAGGAAGGCCCTGTCATAAAGGAAGACGACACACACTCGCGTGTCGTAACCTTACGACGCGCGTGTTAATGACATGCAATGCGTATCAAGAAAGGCCATGCCATAAATGAATATAACACACATTTTTGCGTATCATAATTTAAATGTTTAAAAAAATATTCTTTATAGGTTTACCTATTCTCAAATTAAATTTGTATTTAATGTTTCATAATAGAAAATAAAATATCATATACAAAAAATAGAATCCATTGCATAAATTTAATGTCATACAATTCTATTTCTTACCATATATAAATTTGCATCTAATCTACTATGTACATCAAATTCCAACTAAGTAACTTCACTTGCAGGAGGCATCAAATCCATGCTTCAAATCACCAATAGAATAATAACAAACTGCACCTAGAGTATACTACCTTCTTTTGGCTCCATTACTTCCCAAAAAGATTGACTCCTTCCATAACACCAGATTGTAATTCTTCCTTATCATTGGTATTGGAAATATCACAGAACTTGGTGTATTCCAAGATAATCTGATATCCTTAGTGCTAGGAGATGTTGGTGGGCATTAACCAATTGACCAATGAGGTCTGATGGTGTAAGCAAGTAAAGAACAAATTAAAAGCATTAATGTAATAAATAATAATTATGAAATTTAATATGTTTAGGTGTTAAAAAAGACCTTGTATTGATGTACGCTTAGTGGGGTTCTAGTTATAGTATGGAATGTTGCATTCAGAAAGTGGTGCAAGGGATGAGTTTCTAGTTCAAAGTGATAAGTCTTCCAAAAGCACTTCTCTTTCCACAACAACTCTTGGTTCACAAAAGATCAACTGTTAATGTAGAGGTGCTTTAATGGTTACCATTGGGACAAGATTGGTGAAAAGACACTAATGAAGATCCATTCATTGAAATGAAATTTATTATAACTAACCTGACTGTATGCAGCTTCAATATATGTGTCAACATAAAAACTAAACCAAATTCCAATAGGATTATGTTTCACTTTCTTCTTCATTTTTTTTTATAGGTTTTGGGTTCTGTTTGATATGATGGAATTGAATGAGCAAAATAATGGGATTGGACCCATCGACGACTAACACGAGGAAAAGGTTTTCTTATGGTGAAGATGCAAAGATTTTTGGGTTTTTAAGTTAGAGTTGAGATGACACAAAAAAAAGCTGTAGAATTGTGATTAATCTTAATACTCAAAAAATGAAAGAACTTACTTGTATCTTCTGCCAGAGGGGATAAAGAGAAGCAAGATCCTTTCCCAAAATTGGTTTCTGAGAAGACTATCGATGTAGTTACTACAAACCTCTGTGGCTAGATGATCTAAATCATGAATTATCTGCAAAACACAACAAAACAATAAGTCCTTAGCTGAATAATGTTCAATTTTATAAAATAATAATTTTTTTTCTTTATCTGCCAATTTATATCCATTTACTTATCTAACTGTACATAAACAAAAAACATGTTTGAATGTCTCATTCCATTTTATCAATCAAGCCAAACATGATAATGGAATGTAAGAATCCATTCCATTACTATGCTCATTCCATTCCATCATATCAAACAGAACCCAAAACTTATAAAAAAATGAAGAAGAAAGTGAAACATAATAAAAAGAAAATGATTAGTTAAGTACTAAAACTAAAATAAAAAAAACACAATCAGACAAAAAGAAAAAGGAATGACCTCACTGAAATGCAGGTGAGAATCTTACAGCTTGCATTATTTCTCTGCACACAACATAATGCTTCTATTTAGTACTTTTATAAATAATTGAATGAACTTTGTCTTTATTTTTTATAAGCCCTGTTTAGGATAATTAATGGGCCCATGGACCCATGGAATGTATGGGATCTTTTTGCATTGAATCAAAATCCATGGCCCATTGATTAACGTTTATGTTCAATTTAAAAGATAGTTTAAATAATCAAAGTGTTAAGACTAGTTTAATGACTATTTATGCTTATACAAAGGTGGGAGTAGTTTGAATTTTAACGTCAATTTGACCATATCTTAAAAACAGTTGGCCTGCATTATTATTGAAGCCCGTGTATACACATTGTGGCAATCACAATCCTTTAAGTGCAAGTTATTCAAAACAGTTTGCCTAAGTAGATTTGTATTAAATTGTTGGAGTCCAACACACCAAGGGAAATATTGGAACACTTTTTTAACCGATTTGGATCTGGTGAAGTATCTGCTATGTGTTAATGAAGCTACTGAGGCTTTTGAGGATCTGGTGAAGCTGCCCTTGGTGGGTTTAGTTGTACAAGAAGCTGAACCAGTGTTTTCAGGGGCTCGTGAAGGGGTTTGTTTGTGTGATTCAAGGCTACTTTTGCCTGTATGGGAGCTTCCTGTTATGGTTTCTGATGGAAGTATAGATGGGATTGTTGGGTGTAGGCTTTCTGTTGATGCAATGGGAATTTAGAAGATAAACCTAGAAGTGTTGAGAAGTTTTAAAGGTCTAGAAGGAATCATACCTGCCTATACACAAATTATCAGACATATATATATATATATATATATATATATATATATATATATATATATATATATATATATATATATATATATATATATATATATAATATTATAACAATTAACACAAACAAATTAGTAATTACCATTGAGTTGCTAGTCTTAGGAGGTGGTTTGTGTTCATTTTCTTTCTTTTTCCAGCTATTGCGAAATGCATGGCTGATACTTGGCATAAGGACACTGTTTGAGTGCTTCTTGGCATAAGGACACTGTTTGAGTGCTTCATGTGTCAACTCGTCTAGATTCACTGATAACACCTATGTGTGGAGTGTGGAGTCAACTTCATTGTAAATATTTGGTATATAATCGATGTTGTAAGTTGAGAAAGTTGAAAAATTAAGAAACAAGGGCTTACTTTTGATATATGAACCCCAAGGCTTCTATGTTCCCGTGAACACTTGATGCATATAAATGCTCCAAACCTTACAGATCTGGACACCCAAACATGGAGTTTATGAAGAAAGAGGAGAGGGTTTGTTTTTGATGTCGAACTGCAAGCATGCATCTGAAAATTAGGACTTACACCCATTTTGGATCTGGAGTTGCACAACCTGCACAACACATATTACCCGATTCAGAGATAAATTCTGCCAGCTTTTGTTTCGCACCTAATCAGTGAAAATCAAATTGCATTAGGAACAATCAACTAGTTAATTAATAAAACAATCTCATCATCATTATATATAACTTACAATAAACCACAAGACATGTAATTAATATGTCATTTACAACAAAAAGGCATAAGCATGAGATCTAGTTTTCTACCTATTACATAAAAGATTGTATATTTCTCAAGATATGATAACAATTTGGTAGATGGAAACAGTTAGTTATGGTGAAATAAAATTGACTGAGTTTTGAAGAAGGAAATCACACATACTGTCATAATGAGTTTATCCAAACAAGCAACTACACTTTTCTCTATTTTCTAAACATAAGAGGTCATAGAAACAAATGGTTGTGAGATGCATATCCCAGAAGATAAAGATAGTTACTTGTAAAGAAAAGAATTTGGTGTCCTAGCTCTATCATCGGATCTTTGGATGATGGTTTCAATGCATGATTTGTAGCTATTTGTGTATACTCCTCTTAAGTAAGTTGTAGCTGATTATGAACTAACATCTGGTGACACACAACCAGTGCAAACCCCACCCGGGGGGGGGGGGGGTATAGATGAAGAAGATAAACATACTGACTCTCTGTTCCAATGAAGCATGTGATGTGAACAAATCACCAATTCACGCTACAATCATCAACATAATCCCGTCAGTTAGTCTATGTATGTATGTATAATCAAATATGTGGCTTACCTTCAATTTCTCACGTCTGATAATTCTCTCACAGATGAGGCGTAATCTCTTCAATTCAACCTGCATGACAATTTTAAGAAAAAAAGTTATGATTTTGGATTCAAATAATGTTTTTATAAACAGGAATATAACAGAGAATTCCATTCTTAAACTCCATGTTTTTGAGTCTCGGACTAGAATAAGCAACAAATAAAGTATTGTAAGAAACTAATATAATATTTGATAAAAATTAGAAACAAAAAAACAAGAAGGTTGATAGTGATTAATGTTATGGTAAATAATAATAATATATCACCTTTTTCCTCTCCACCTGTGCGTCTCACAGTAAGCCTTGTGTTGTATTTTTCCACCACTTGTTCTCACATTCATAAAGAATCCAGTACTTTTGCCACAAGTAGGATGAAATGTGCTTTGACAGTGACCATAATTGCACTATAGGATACAATTATTTATTAAAAATAAAGTTCAATGAAAAAAGAAAAAATAAAAAATGGGATGGAAGAAACTCGTATTAATCTCACCAATCTTTATACATGCGCCAACTTTGTGGCTGCAAACAAGGGAAACATCGTATTTTTTTTTTTTTAAAAGAACAACAAAAATGGTAACTTAAGTTTTTGTTATTTTAGGTAGAAACACCGGATAGGGTTGGAAGACAAGCTATTCTGAATGTGCATGTTTACAAGAAAGAGCTCCCTTTAGGAGAGAATGTTGACCTTGCTAAAATTGCTTCCATGACCACCGTTTCACCGGGTAATAAAAAAATCATCTTTTTTTTTATTTCCAAAACTACCCTTGTTCTTTTTTTGAAATATATTTTTTGGTTTGGTATGCAGGGTAGACCTTGCTAATTTAGTAAATGAAGCGGCTTTGTTGGCAGGGAGACAAAGTAAACTAGTGGTGGAGAAAAATGGACTTTATCCAAGCAGTGGAGAGTTCCATTGCTGTAATTATATTCTTTTTCTTGTAAATTAAAAAGATTTTATATGCATTATATGATTTACTTTTTGATAATAAACAGGGGATTGAAAAGAAAACAACCAAGTTACAAGGCACTGAGAAAGCAGTAGTGGCTCGACATGAAGCTGGTCATGCAGTAGTTGGCACAACTGTTTCTAAGCTTCTTGCAGGACAACCACGGGTTGAGGTAAAGATTTTTACCATGGAATGGTATCGCGAATTCCGATTCCAATTGAGTATGACAATTGACAAGTGATAAGTATTCATGTTTTGTTTTGTATCAGAAACTAAGCATACTACCAAGGTCAGGAGGGGCATTAGGATTCACATACAAAATTCAAAAAGAACTATTAATCACCATATAATACAAAAGGAACACAAGTAAGAATCACAATCAAAGAATATTACCTCAACACAGAAGGCATGGACCCATTGACCATCAGTTGACTTCCTAAAAGCACCAGTATTGCCACCACATAAGCAACATTCCGCTACACGAGACGCCTTCTCTGAGTAACTGAAAGATGGGACCGCCCCCTGTTTCTAGAAGACAATGAATCTTCACATAAGTCACAAAACCATGGACCTGTAGAATCTTTCAGACTACGATAACAATCTATGTGAACTGTAACCTGTTACCAGATAAAATATTAAAATACAGTTAGGAGGATAAAAAAAAGAGATTAGAACTATTCATTTCCATTATTGAAGGTTAAGCTAACCTTGCAACTAGAACATATAATAACCGGATTCAAAACTGTTTCCTCCTGTCTGAAAACATCACAAACCCTAGAATTCCCTTTGTAATCTAAAGTTGATGGTGAAGAATCAATGAACTGCAGATCTCCCTCCAAAAGCTTTTATCTTCAACTTATTCTGAACACAAAATAAGAATCAATATAACTTCATTTCATTATGAAAACAGATCAATGAAAGTATGTTGCTACTTCTTGCATCTAATTCTACTATTTTTTTAACAGAATGAGAGTCAACTACCTCATAGTGAGCGGATTCTTTAAGTGTATCTTTCCTGAAAGATGAAATCCTGGAAGAAGTTGCAGCAACAGCAGTTGAAGCTGCAAGAACACCCTGAGCTTCCTTGTTCCTTCTCTCTTTTCGCCCCTGTTTTTTGACTTCTCTTAGATCAGAAAGATATTGGCTCACCAACACAGCATCCCATTTTGGTTTTCTTAGTGTCTCAATCTCTTGTGGAAGAACCTTGATCACCTTTGATATCAAATAATCTACACAATAAAAAAAAACATCATCACAAAGTTAACGAATTTGGCACTGCAAGATGAAGATATCAAATCCCTAAATGCAGAGGATAACGAAAAGGGACCACTTAGTGCCATAGATTTGACCCCTGTATTAACAGTATTTACAGCGGTAAGAGTCTTTGTTGACCTTGAATCCCAACATTTTATCTTTTTGTCTCACCCTGCAGTCACAACTTGACCGGTTGAACCAAAAAAATGATAAATTTTGGAACATGAAATATAAAAATGTAACAAAGTTAAAAGCACAATTTTCTCTAGAAAAAGTCACTAAAAGAGGAAGATGATCTTTTATTTGTAGAGGAAAAGTATTCATGAACCGAATATGGTTGATAATGATGTCATTGGTTGTGAAGATTATGGTTAACCAATGCAATTTGATTACTCAATGAAAAGCTGAAAGGAATATGTTTTGACTTTGTCCACAGGAATCTGCAAAAGGCTAAATACATAAAAAAAAAGTGTACTGTTTGCTGAATTCGATTATTCTATTTTACACAAAATAATAGCAAGAAATACATGTTGTAGATGATACTTTTGTTGATATCATAGTCTTGTACTGTTTGCTGAATTTGAATCAATTGCATTTGTAGATGTCACAAAATCATGAAATTTATGAGTAATCTTCTTCATACTACTCATTTTAATCAATTATTACAAGAGAAAATATAAAGATCAGAATCTGTTATGAATCAATCGAATTTCGCGACTTAACTTCTCAGTTTTACTGATAGGAAAAAAGGTATCGCTCTAAAACGAACCCTAGGAACAAAAACATGAAACTCAACAAATCATGGAAACTGTAACAAAATCAAAAAGAGAAATCACCATAGCGACAATCGCAGTGAGGCTATAGAGAAGAGCGAGAAGGTAGAATATTCAATCTTGCCAAATAAGAGAGACATTTAATATACTCCACCATTTAGAAGCATCTTTAATAGTTAACATCATTATTAGCACAGAATCAAACGGGCCTACCAAGGCCCTATACATTTCCGGAGATCCAATTAGTGGTGTTGTTGAGGAGTGTCGAGGTCATGATAGAGTAGGGCTTGTAAACCAAGATTTACCTTAATCTAATCTAGGGCTTGTAAACTTGAGCAATCGTTGTAGTCTCTAGTGAGGTGAAGTGAGCCCGAGGTCGTCGGTGGAAAGAGATGATCTGAGGTCACAGGTTAGTTGAGGTAGAGTACTCCTTGAAAAAGCCCTAGATAATGATACTTGCACGTCAGCGAGGATGTGAATCTGAAGCGGGCCCTTTATTTTTAACTCCACGCCGGAGTACTTGATCTGAAATACGAGCTTGGTTGTGTTATTCCTTTAGGATAAACAAAAGGGATTCGGTAGTGGTGGAGGTGGATTAGGGTTTACAGAGAAAAGGAGAAGGAGAGAGTGAAGGTTGTTGGTTGGTGGTGTGCTGCCTTTATCGACGTCGACGACCAGGAAGTGTGAGGGAAGAAGTAGGCGGCAGTCAATGTTGGGAGGGGGAAGGAAGGAGTGTTGATAATTAGGGTAAGAGGGAAAGGAAGAAAAAGGAAGGTGGGGTTTTTAATTTTTTAGGATTTCATTTTACCCTAACTATTAAAGGATGGAACGCGCGTTTCTATTAAAATTTATAAAGCGACACCCTCAGACGATACACATTTGATTATAGGCGCCTTCCGTGTTTTCTTTTTAGACACTAATTTAAGGGCTCGCAAAAATGCGCGCCCTAGATCCTTAAAATTTATACAGAGATGACATTATTTTAAGATCACACACTTTTGCGTATCGTAAATCACTGCATATCATAAATTGCACGTCGTAAAAGGCTGTTTTTCTAGTAGATGGATAAGTCTAATAACTATTTTGCGTATGACTTCAGATTCTGATCTGCAATCATAGCTTTCCAAAGCCGCTGTCAACTCTGATCCTATCAGATACGCGTGTCCTTAGATAAGGGATCATATATTCCTCCATTCTAGATATCATATGAGATATGATTTCAAACCATTCTCTTTGTACTATATCTCGATTTCCGATTTATGACGACTGACTAATTGAACAAATCAAATTAGCCCTAGCCCGGCCGAGCATTTACGTTTGTCATCACTAAACCATCGAGGGGCCCAAAGATATCGCTTTTATTCTACTTTGAATAAAAGGAACGGATAAACATTGATACAATGCTTGCTTGCACTTACTAACCAAATCACACACAACAATATGTTTTATAATACCAAGTTACTAGTGTGTTTACATATTATCAATGTGAAACCGATTAGCAAGATACAACTCACACATCTGGCAAGGTAAGAATCGGTGCCTCAGATAGTCGCTACCCTAGCGTCTCAAATGTTGACTGCTGCTCAGGACCTCAACGAAATGCCAGTGACTTCTTAGTCAGTCGATTAAGCAGTACTGCTATCTTGGAAAAATCATGAATGAATCTCCTGTAATACCCTGCTAGAACTAGGAAGCTCCAAATCTCAGATGGAGACCTCGGGACCTCCCACTACATCACGACTTCTATCTTGGT